CGTGAAATTGAAATTATATGTATATATATATATATATACGATACGATCGTACTTACATTTAGTGAGTATCAAGTTACTTAACAATACATACAAACACACACACACACACACACATGTATACCCCTTCCCTTTGCTGCCTCCCTACCCATAGCTCATAGCTGCGTAGGCATAGATCATGGATCTACAAATATGACGTAACAATAATTTCAAGGCTCGAGCTGTCATCTGAATACCAGGCAATATATAGAGGAGAATCAAATAAGGAAATTTAAAAAAAAAATGAAAACTATGAACAAAAAGATATATATATATAGAACTTACCTAGAAACATATATACACATATATTGATATACATGTATTCCTATGATATTTTTTGTATGCAACTCTTTGTTATTTTACGGTTCATGTCCTACCTGCATATATAGCCCACATACAAGCATATATAACTTAAGCGTATATGCACTTTGGCATATAAGAAGAGCTGAAAAAAGAATTAAAAAAAAATCAAAAACAAAAACAACACAATGAAACAATGTATAGAACACAAGAGACAACTGATATGGAAATCTGTATAATGTATAATTAGTATATACAATATGCGTTGTATACACACCCTATATTACACTGATATATACAAGCGGGCATATTGGTTTGTGCATGTTTGCCCGCAAATATATTCAACTATTGTACAATGAAATAGCAAAGCTAACGAACAAACAACAACAGCAACAACTATAACAACTACAACAACAACAGCAACAAAATACCAGCAAACATCCAAAAGTGTATAAAAACAATGAGAGAAAAAAAAAAAAACAAAATAAGAAAAGCAAAAAATGCAAGAAAAAATAAATAAAATAAAAAAAAAATCATATTTTCTAGAACATATATGAGAAAAAAAGAAAAAGAATAATGAAAACTGATATGAAAAAAAAGAAAAAAAAAGCTAAACTAGACCTAAGAAGTGATTAATAAAAAGAAAAACCAATAACAAACTATAAAAGATTTTACACGATTTTTTTTAGTAACTGTAATTATAGCAACAAACGACATCTTGATTAAAGTGGATTATATTAATCGATATATATGGGTATAGTACGTAAGCTCTGAATTTAGGTATGGTTCGGGTACTCCCTAGTCGAGCACTCTCGATTGAACCATTTGATAGTCTCTATTCTCTAAAGAAACATTTTGAGTTCTGTGAAACTACATTGAACTAGTTACATGAACGATATTATATTTTTTAAATCTGTGACTGCATCTATCGAGTCCTACAATATCTTGTTTTAATGTAAGCATTATTACTAGAAGTCGAGTACGACTCAACGCGGAAGTTTCCGAGTCGCAGATACTTTGTAATTCATGCTGTGATAAGGGTTCGCTGATGGGATTTAAAATGTGGAAATTTAGTGGTTTCTGCTCTGCAAATGTGTTCAACATAGTTGACATTATATAACGAAGCTTACGATCGATTTTGATTGATTTCTTTGAATCGATAAGATATGCATAGAATATACGTATAGAGATATATGTACATATGTATGGAATATGAAAAAACTCCTGTAGGATAATCTATTTATTAAATAACCTAATTCTAGCTGTGAAAACTTGCCCTATGCACTCAGTTTACTAAAGCTTTATAACAATTTTTATGGAAATGGTAAAAATAATTTTTAGTTTAATACGATTTCAGTAACTTAAAAGCATATCTAAGGCTTCAAGTCGGTTACTGCTGTATGTTTCGAGATCGACGCTTTCATACAGCTAGACTAGAGACAGAGGGACACAGAGAGAGCGGCAGTGTTGGATCAACTCGCTGGTGCCACCTGATTGAGAATATATGTACATATGAGGCTTATGGTGCTGGCGCCGTCTTCTGTTGCTTGTCACAGACATTTTTTATTACCAAATATGATGTAAGATATGTATACGTAGAGCTTGCTGCGGCTTAGGGCTTGTTCACCTGATGGACACTTTGTTTTATTTCATAATCTATTAAAGTAGCAAGATACATGTCTCGCTCGCTCTCTCTGTCTCTCTCCCTCTCACACTCTCTCTGGATAAGTGTATTTTCGTAGCTTCCGCCACCAACTGAGAAAACGCTTAAAATTTAATTTTGTGGCTCATACTTACAAATTGCCACCGTATACCCAATTGCTTCTGGATGAGGTTTTCTGTGGGACTTGGTCGTGTGTCAGGCCGGTCTGCTGGGGGGGTCGCTGGTCGCTGGAGTCGCCGGTGTCGGCGGGGTCGGCGGGGTCATTCGAAGCCATTATCTAGACATTAGTTGCGCCTGCTAACTGCCTGGCAACACCTGCAGCGGCGACGACTGCTTAAAGCCGAGCTTGTAATTAAAAGAAATTGCTACCTGGAGCATGCCAAGAGCTCGGCAACCTGTGCAACTGGGCAACCTGGGCAACTGGGCAACTGTTGAACCTGGCTGCTCCAGCGCATTGTTGACCCTAATTTAAAACTATCAATAACCGCGCGCCACACAGAACACACTCAAGACCCGGGACTCGAGACCCGAGACTCGAGATTTCGATCTCGCGCGCGCAGTCTAAACAATAAAATTAATGTCTCCGGCGGCTCTGGTCAACCAGCAGGCCACTTAGGCGACCCGCACACCATCATTCCAATGCCATTCCATTCCATTCTATTCCATTCCAATTGCCGAACAGGTAGCAGTCGTAGAGAGTCGTTTAACAACAACACTAACAGAAGGACGGACGGACGGACGAATGGATAGACAGACGGGCAGGCGGACGGCCAGTCGACCAGTTTAGCAGACAAATTTTGTGCATGCATTGGAAATACTCTTTCATTATATGTAATACATATTTATATGTGTGATTCATAGTTTAATTTCTATATATTTTTACTAGATTAGGTTTCATAAGCAATTATCTAGATACTTGTCTTTTACTTAACCCTTAAAATACTTTTTTTTTTTCTTTTTATACATATATACTATTTCTGTTTATAGGTTTAATAAATTTATAGATTTTGGTGTAAGTTTATTATAATAAAATGAATATAATGTTAGAGTTAGGAATATTATTTCATGAATATGTTGATTTATATATGCTTCTTATTTTAATTGATCTTTGTGATTACTAGATTAGACATTTTACTATACAGTTAACATATTTTAAGATTGTTTTTTGTATTCAAGAATTTTGCTATTAAACTAAAGAGTTAAAATTTTCCCATATTAAACGTGTAGAAAAATCCCCAATCGGAATTCCCAATCGAACACCCAATTGGAATGCCTTTATATTGAGCTTTAGTATAAGAGAGATTGAATTTCCCTACTCAACTATAAAACACATTTGACTCACTGATCTCGCATAAAACACTCTATAATTCCGTATTACAAACATATATTTCCCCATAGTTAGTCCATCAACTTTATTGCCTATAGAGCATATGCACTGTTACACTATTTTAGCCTGGTCAAATGGCAAGGGCCTCCAGCGGCGTTAACTAGTTTGGGTTTCTCTTCTGTCGAGTTTTTTTTTTTTTTTTGGGGGGGTTGGCGTTTTGAAGTCGGGTTTTCCCAGCCATATGGATTGCAGTGCAGTTCTCTGGGCTAAGCTGCTAAAAATCATTTTTCAAATACACACATTTAAGCCCCGCTGCGTGGAGTGTATGTGGATGTGGAAGGGGCAGGGGCAGGGGCAAGGGGAAGGGGAAGAGGCGAGCGATCCGGCAACTGTGACACATGTTCCGGGCCAGCAAATAGACGAGCAGTTGTTGGCCAAGCCAAACGCACATGAAACAATTATTAT